ATTTTTTCATATAAATATTAACTTATAGTGACGAATTTATTACTTTTACAATCGAAATTTCGTTACTCAAATACTTAAATTGTCAGAAAAAAATAATAATTTAGATGACGGATTTGTATTTTGTTATTTAAACGTGACAAATTTTTAAACAACAAAAAAAAAACTATAATAAATTATTATTTTTCTGAATAATTTTATTGAATACAATCCTCGATGCAAAATAATACATATTATTTTTGTATTAAAATATTTGGTAGTTTAATTAATATTTATTATTAATATTAACATTTAATATTTATTTAAATATTATTAAATACTTCCTTATATACAACGTTCGTGGTTTTATTATCGTCAAAATCTCCATCAGCACAAATTAGAATCTTCAAACCCCTCCGACTCGTTACTCTAGAAAGTGCCGCGTGTAATTGCCCATGACTAAATACAGGGTTCTTCAATAGTAAGCCGACGTGCGACAGTGACTCACCTTGACTCCTATTGATTGTCATAGCATAGGAAACCATGAGAGGGAATTGACTGTGCTGAAACTTGAACGGTACCCTCAAATCGGATGGTATGATTGTGAGCCTAGGAATAAGAACCTTATCACCAGCTCTGGCACCGGTTAAAATTCTGTATTCTAGGACAATTGCAAGCCTCATGTCAATTGTTGAGGAATTTTATAGTTGGAGTATTCCCATTCCATCCGTTCTTCAAGTCACACTCACGAAGTTCGACTTTCCTCGACTTGGATGCATCTCACATTCCGCTCGGTAGGTATTGTTCTCTATCGGCAAGGATTATCCGAGGGAGTACTCGGTTAGAGGGTGAGTTTCGAGCTATGGTGGATCAGTCTACCTCTTTTAAAGAGATGGGTCTCACTCTTGTTTATGACGGTACGCAATCTCTCGACACGAGTGAGGACATCGACGATTTGGTTATTAAAGAAAGTTCCTCTCTTGACGATTCGGCCGTGTGTTCTACATTAGGTACGTCTAACCTTTCTTCTGGTGATTGTGCCTTGAGTTCGAATTCTATTGTTAAGAGTCAACATATGGAATCGGGTACGGATATGGTGTATGGTACGGGGGAGAATTCGTTTGAAGAGTTGGTTGTGCCTATTCATGTGTCAGAAGAGTCGAATGATTTTGAAAGTGCTCGGGAGAATGATTTTGAGGAGAAGGATGTGGTAGTTGATGATTTTGTGGATGTTATTGAGGAGAATTTTGAGCCATTATGTGATGTCGTGGACCCGAGGTGTGCGTTGATTGACGAGTCGACTTGTGATGTTGAGTATGAAGTGGTTCTTATGACCTTTGGGTAGTCGTTTCGTATTATTGAAGATCGTGACCATTTGCAGGAGTTTAGTGTGCCTATGCCCATGCCCGGGATTGATTCGACGTGCTCCACAGATGTTTTTATATTTTCGGAGGTCGAGTATGGAGCCTCGGTTCGTAAAGATTCATCTCTCCTCTTGGTGGTTGTTGATATCCGTGCTCAGTTTCACAAGAACTCAGCCACGGGAGTGTATTTGGCCCGCCTTTGTTCCATGTTACCGGATCGTCTCTTTTTGGAGAATACAAAGGTCCTACGAAGCCGCTTCTGTTATGACAAAGTTTTGTTCTATTTGATTGGCCAAGAATTCACTCGGACAATGTTCTTCCATGACCAAAGTAGCTCGAGTTGACTTCCAATGCGTTCCTTTCAATCTTTTATTCAGTATACTGAAATAGACATATTCATATCATCACACAAACATCTCAAATGGGCAGTTGACAAGCAAGAAAGGAACAAATGAAAGTACAATGCAATACCTTCTGAAGTCTCCCAAGCAATGCCTCCGACGAAAGCAATGCTTTAGTTAAAAGTGATGCAAAAGAAAGCTAAAAAAAGCCATGATTGTTTTGCAGTTGTGCATGATTTCCATTTTTCTGCACTTTTGCAAATACAAAAGTGGAAAAATGCTACGATCTCATCGATTTCTTGTCCGATTTGTCTAATTTTTGGTTATGTTTCTGTTCCACGTGATATCTTGCCGCTGTAAAAATTTCAGAATTTAATTCGGACTGTAACTATTTTAAATGAATTAAAGTGGTTGATACCCGTCTGCCCGTTGGAACGCCGCGTAATTAGCAGGGTTACTGATTAATCTTCGAGTCCTGCTGTGAAACCATTCAATGTAACCCTGCTCCGGCTGCAGTTAGTCGTACACAGGGGCAACTGGGAGGTGACGATGATCTCTTTCATCGGTCCACGACCTCAAAAACGGTACATGGAATGTGGCCCAATCAAAAAATGCCCTCCCACAGAAATCCAGGCTGGGCATCACCCACTCATCTGGACGCTGGACTTAGGCTGGGCCTCGCCCACTCATCTAAGTCATAACTGACATCTGACATCTTGACCGAGACGGATGAGTCCCGTTAGGTCTATCTAATAGCCGACTTAATGAATTTGGATTAATCAGCCAAGAGTTGAGAGAACATGCAACAATTAAAATTCAAGGCAAGTTGCAAATTCAAAAATTTCACTTGATAAATTTCTTCTAGAAACCAGGAATCATCTCATTCGTTGTCACTCGTCTTCATTTTTCCGCATAAAACTCCTTTTACTACAAAGAAAGTTCTCTCTTGTATGCAACTACATGAAAGAAGACCATTTTCTTCCTCTCCTTTTTTTCTTTTCAGATTAGTGTAGCAAAAGCAGAATAATGCCTTTAAGACTCACAAGAGGAACAGGGGCAGGAAGGCAACACGTGTACAGTACCCGTGGAGATTGTGTCCGACCAAGACGCGAGGTTCACCGGTCAGTTCTGGAAGACGTTGCACCGAGCCATGGGGACAATCAACATTTCTTCTTAGATCTCGGTTGATTTCCGTTGGGAACGTCGAGCTCAAGACGTTAAAATGAGTGCTTCGTGTGAGGCAACCCACAGTTCTTTCTTTTTCTAGTATTTTTCTTTTTTATCTTCAATAAATAGCCCCGCTAGCCGCACGACACATGGTATTTTCGGTGAAGGAAATGGGATTTGGGGACGGGATTTTGGTGGAAATGGGTTGAAATATGATTAAGGATTGAAATTTGGGCTAAGTGTGAAAATTGGTGAGAAAATGTTCGTGTCGACCCGCTCGGCAGTACCGACCTGTTAGTGCCGGGCAAAAAATTTGATTGAGAAAGTTTCGTGAAGTGTGGACGAAATTTGGGTCAAAAATCAATCGAAAATGCTCAAAGTATGCCTAAAAGTATGGAAAAAATGGCCCCAGGCCCGCACTGGCCCGAGGCAACCCGCAGCACGGCCCGCGCGCCCGCGCCAGCTCGCGCATGCGAGCTCCCATTCTGCGCGCTACCCAGCATTCGCGAGCTGCCCCAGCGCGGACAGAGGCTGTTTAGTAAAATTTTGGTGTGGGTGAAGGATAACCGAGTTACCCGACTCGGGTCGATCTCGAGGGAAGGCTATTCGGAGCTTTACTTACTATTTGATCGCCCAAATCACAAAAAGAGAAAAATAAAACCTAAACATTCTAATCAATTTTGGTTGAGATGA